TAAGGAGTAAGGACTACAATATAATTTTAAAATTCAATTTGAACATAATTTTCTTTGACTTTTAGTAAATATTTATTAATCAATAATAGTTCACTCATTATAAATGTTAAATCAATTAAACAATTAAAATAAATATCATATCTTACTAAATTATTCTTTTTTTTTATACATAAAATTTATTTATGAAAATTTATTTATTCCAAATTTATTTAATTGCTTTCTATATTTTATTGTTATAAAATAATGACTTTTCTTTAACATATCATTTTTGAACCAGTAAGTTGAGTGAGTTTATATCTCCTAATATTTTCTTTATTGCGTCAATATTATAATATAAATAAAGTACAGCAAATTTAGATTACTCGTACTTTATTTAATTGTCGAAACAAGATACCTAGGTACCTACCAGATAAGTAGTAAGTATTATAGGTTATATTGGTAATAATATAAGATATTTTATAGAAATAAAAAAATATTATAAAATTACTTACTTTGAATTATTTAAAACTAATGCAATTGTTTTACTTGAATCATACAATTTGGAATATTTAGAAGAATGAGTTTAATAATTGATAGCTATAAGTAAGTATAATACTTATTGACAAAATAATATTGTTTACCTGAAATGTAAGTCCCATGTCTTCTTGAACGTTTCCCTCGTATTCAAGAAGATGCCTTAAGCCACTGGCTACATCCTAAAATTAAACCTCGACAATTATAATATATGATAAATTAAATAATGTAGTTTTAAAATAGCACTAAGTAATTATTTAAAAAAACCAAATAGGTCACAGTGCGCTAGCTATAGTAGTATTATATCATAGTCACTAATCATTATTTTATACTAATCTATAAACTCTTTAACTAGATAAGTATAGGTATGCCAAAGATTAATTTATAGTTAAACAAAAATATTATTGTAAACATATTAATGTGCACTTTTGTTTGTATCTATGGTTAAACATTTTTAAATGTAGATAATAGAGAAGACCAGGATTTAGGACTTTGGACTTTTTTTTTGAGGAAGAGCATTTTGTTTTTAGTCAAAAAGTTTAAAGATGTAATGCAAAGTTCTTCATAAGTTTATCTTACAAAAATTTGAAATCATAAAATGCATATAAGCATACATTTTTTATAGACATTTGAAATTCAAATTTCGTCAAATTTGATATTTAAAGAAAAAATAGCGTTCATTTTTTTTACTAATTAATTTAAGTTGTTTTGTTATAATTCAAAAAATATTGCTTATTAATTTTAGGTACACTAAACATTTTCCTATTACTTATATTATTATTTTTTATGCATAGTTAAATTTTTGAAATGTTAAAATAAAATTAACCTATTTATATTACTATTATATTTATGGTATACTTATATCAATATTGATTTATAAATGTTTTTTTAAATTTAATTTATGTAATGCACCCAGACTCTTATAGTCTAATATATGTATAGCATAGCGGATTTTCAAGTTTCTTGATAATTATTTTGCTCAGTTCAATAGCTGAAGACATTTAAAATGTCAAGGAATTTTTTTTGTTAATTAAAACTATTACATTGAGCATTTGAGCTTCTCCTCACTGACCTCACTTATTGTTGATGGTAGAATTAAGAATTAAGAATTTAAGAGATTTCTTATAGAATTTTAAATAAGAATAAATGATAATATGGTTGATGATGAGAGAGAAGTGCATGGATATAGTGGTTACAATGGTTACATATATTTAGATACTAAACTGGCATGATCTCGTTCAGGTCGTCTAACGTGGGGTTTTCGACAACACCCACGTTATCATCGTTGGTAGTGGGTACAACTGGTGGCGATAAAAGTTTTCTGTAACAAATTCCTGGAAAACTCAAGTCCAGTATAATGGAATTATACACTGCTAGTCCCATCAGTACACCGATCAGGTTGTACTCGCGGAGGTTTGTGAGGTCCATTTGCCCGGTGCTGAACCAGTAACGTCGGGAATGTGAGTAATACACAAACATCCCGTATTCCGCATGAAATATTTCGCGGATAAGTAGTAAAAACCATTCTTTTGTTAGACCACCCATGTCTAATCCTGGTTCTCCAGCGAATGTAACTTTTAACTTTTTCTTTAAATCTTTTTGTTTGAAAGCAATCTGCAACATGTTTACCAATTTAAGTACTTACTTATAATAAGTTAATAATAATTAATTGTTGTATACATAGCTTTTTCTTTTTTATATATTATCCTGTAAGACTACAGGAGAAATTTTCTGTTGGCTGTCCCAGTTTTTAATTTCTATAATTATCACTAAATACTTTAAAATCCGAAAAACAATCTATTTACATATTTCTATAGCTGCCTTAATAATAAAAATAACTTTGAAAACAGTAACCAGATTTTTATGTACCTACTGTAAGACTAACTAAAATAAGGTAGTAAATATAATAGGTTGTTTTTTAAATTAAAAAGAATATATATATATATATATAATAGGTCAATGTCAATATATCGTATGATTTTGAAAAATACTTTAATGCCATAATTAATTTCAATGAAAAGTTGAACAAAATAATAATAAAAACGGAATTGCCATAAAATTGCTTTCAATTTTTATCCATTTCAAACTTCTATTTTTAAGTTTAAAATTAAAAATAAAATATAATAATTATTCAACCAAAAAATAAATAGGCGATTATATGATATTGTCCTTGATTATAGCTATTTTAAAAACATGATTATTATATTCACGTAAACAATAAATAATAAAATGCAATCACTTATATCAGTTATTTAATTCATTTAAGCAAAATAAAAAAATTAATCTTGCTATTAGCAGTTTTTTACCTTATTCATATTATTTTATTTTATGTGTATAGGTCAAATGTTTTTATATTTTTAAAAGTATTCAATACTAATCTTAACACGTTAATACTGATGTATTATAATTAATATCAAATAAAATTAAATGTTATATTTGTTTAAATGTTAATAAATGTCAATTATATATATCTACCCCTTCACTTTTTATAATGTGGTATATTTTGCATTTAGACTATAAAAACGATCTAATAGTTAATTATGATTAAAAAAAATATAAGATTATGATGAACTATTCGTTTCAACCCAAAACATGACATTATATGATCAATTTTTTTACAAGGAAGAAACATATTTTGGTTTTTTTTCCGAACTGATAGATCAACATAAAAATACGGATATACGTCGGAAATACAAATTTAAACAACCGAAACAAAATAAAAACGTAATATAAATAATAATTGCAGCGGTAGAAGTAAGTATAGTATAGGTCATCATTATATATTTAGCTTATAATTTTTAATTAAACAAATTCTTTATTTATTATAGAAGCTAAAATCTTAAATGATTACAAATTTGCATTCTTTTAACTGTTTACAAAAACATTTGAAAAACAAACAATAGTTGATAGAACATTAAAAATGATTTTGATTTCAATAAAGTGAATACGTAAAATATAAGTGAATATACGTTATAATTGTTATAAATAATGATTACATATAATACATATATATTATGTTAATATAATTAAATATAAGTACCAATAAAAACTTATATTTTATAGAGTTTATAAGGTTAAGCTATGATGGAAGCCAAAAGTATGTTTTCCCAAAATGACAAATTGAAATATTTAAAAAAAACAATAGAGATTGAAAATATTTTATCAAGATTTTTGAAAGATAATGTGGATTTTAAAATTTTAAAAATATTATTTTTTTACCTCATTTAATGAATCCTGTACCAAATGCGATCTTCTGACGTTTATGTTTAAAAAGAATATATCAATATTAGGTGTCTGTCTTCTTGCAACTTTAGATACTAATGACTTTCTAGCATTTAGAATCATTTGCTGTTCTGAATCTTTAGTAAGTATGATCCTCTTTGCAACAATGCTCAGAATAAATGGATATTGGCAATAAGAAAAACATTCATATGGTCTAAAACTTTGCCAATTGTAATAATCACGCATAAGATTTATGTGATCCAAAGCAGAGTTATACAATTCAGTAAAATGTAATAGTTCGGTTCCTAATTTATTGGCTGCATCTAAAATACATTTAAAGTAATTTTAAATATTTTCGTTTAATTAATTTAACATTACTATTATTATAAATATTTTATATGTCAGTAATTGTTTTAATAAATGCGTTTTAAACTTACTTATTAATGCTAAATTTTTCATTGCTGATGGTATCCACCAAAGTGTCTTTCCTAAAGGCGGTAAAGATTTATCATTTGGAGAAAATTGCCGTAAAGTTATAAATTGCATAATATATCTTATTAATGACCTTAATTTATCCAGTTCCAATCTTGAATATAAAATTTCAATATATTTGCTTAGATTAGTTGAATGCATGATACCAAAAAAAAAAAATTAGCTTGAAAATACTATATTTATTATTTAGGTTAAATCAAAATAAATATTACTTAATAAAATAAATGTACGATAATCTTATTTGGACACTAAAATTTTCATAAATTTTATTTAATTATTATGTATTTTTTTAAATTTTAGCTAGGTATATTATATTTGAAGATTCCAAGGTAAATTTTTAAATAAAAATATTTTAAATTAAATATGCACTGTGTAATATTAATAAAAACAAATTCAATATAGTTTTCTTGTTTTAGTTAAAATGTAAAAATAGCAGTCGTAAATGATATACTGTATTTATATTGGTATCTATATAAACATAATTATTAAGGTTATTTAAAAATATGTACAGCAAGTAAATAGAATCATTGATAATTGAAGCAACATATTGTATTTATTATTTTAAGGACCACTATAATTTTATTTCATTTATCCATTTTATATTATTAAATACCTAAACACCAATATTGTATACTCCAATGTAATTTCTTCACTATTGTATTGCATAATATTGCTGACAACGCATTTGACCGAATGCCTACTTATATCCCAACGTGGACTATTAATATTATCATTCATTTCTGATCCAGTCTAACATTCGACATACCATTAAACAATAAATTAACTGAAAGTGTCATCATGAATTTTTTATTGTGTTTTTCTTTAGTTTGTGCCGTGGCAATTGCCAAACCAATGGATGAAGACAAAAAATCAGAACAACTGCCTACATCGCTTAGCACCAAAAACGAGACTGTATCGAACTACAGAGTAGAAAGTCATGATAAAATATCTCCGATAGTTCAGGTTTTTTCCGAATCAAACGAGAATAATGAATCAAAATCCGATGAATTAAAAATCACAGATGATAATCAACCAAAGTAATTATTATTTAAATTAGTTATAGTTATAAACTTACAACTTATATTTTTTAGCCGGCGCCCGGTAAGAATATGTTGTAATATTATATTATATATCCATTAAACTTTTTAAATTATAAATTTTGAAGTACAATCAATATGCTGAAATTTATTAAGTAACTATAGCTTTATAATTTTACTTATAGTAATTATTATATTTATAGTTATTTCATTGATTCCTAACTTAATTTTGACTCTAAAGTAATGTCAAAGAGTTAATTAAGACAGGTAGACCAAAGAGAACAATGAATGTTGACCACGCCAAAAACGTAAAAAAACATTAGAAAAGCCTGGGTCCAAAATATCCGTATAAATAATTTGAAGGGGGGGGGATCACTTCAAGAATTTATGAAAAAGTCTTATAGGTACTACCTATATTATTTTCGTGTTTTTGTATCTATCAAAATATTTTTTTAATTAACAATAAAGATTAAATCCATTATTTTTAATTGTAATTATTAATGATTTAATTTCTGCTGAGAGTTCTATTAATAATAAAATATTTACAGATTTCTATAAGAAATCCGTATCTAATCGAGATTGATTAAAAAGTGCAATTCGTGCTTTGCTTGTTATCACTATTATTCTTACAAAACTAAAAACTTAATTTGCTTTAACTTGGTCAATTTTCACTCAATTTTAATATTTTTATTAAATTAGGTACTTTAAAAATATTATCAAAAAATTTTTAAAAATTTATGAAATTAAGTAGGTACATATAATTTTTTTTGAAATTTTTGAATTTTTAAAAAGAGAATTTTCTTACTAATTAATATAAAAACTTATTTAAATATAGTGATTTACCACTCAGATACTAAGGGTGATACGGGACTTTTGGGACAGACTGTATATTATATTTCTTCGTTTAAATTTTAATTATTAATAATAATATTAATAATGAATAAGTACATATATTATTTAGTTTTAAAATAGATTACTAGTTATAATATATTTTGATATAGAAGTTTGAAATATTAGTATTTATAATATATATACACACATACACATAGTATTATGTATAATGAATTAATGAATTATAATGTATTTAACTAAAATAAGATATTTGTATCTTAATTTATAGGTATTATGTATCTAGTTAATATAATATTGCAATAATAATATTTTTATTTTTTATTTTGATTAAATGCGAGTCAGTAAACAATTTGATTTAAATACCTATGTATAAACTATTGTTGTATTGTTGATACTAAAATGTTGTTTTAATAAATAAAATACTGAACAGTAAAATCACGGTTGTCAATAAAGATTAATCGTGAACAACATTTTCATATTTAAAAAATATATATACTTATTTAAAAAATTATGTTTTATAAAAATGCTTTATTTTATTTATGAATTCAAAAAAATATGATTTATTTTAATTTAATTTTAAAACTAAAGAATTTTAATTCAAACAACAGGACCTTGGAAATGCGACTATAATAAGTTATATATTAATCTTTTATTCACATTATAAAAACATGAAATTATTTTTATGAATTTTCTAATTATGTTAATTAAATAATCTAAAACCGGGTTCAGTCAGTATTTTTGCCCTTTAATAACAAACTGTTGTAATAAATTAGAGTTTTCTACTATATGTGGTTTGAGTTTGGGTGAAGTGACAATGGATGATGAACGAATGGATTGAGAAATTAAATTATGTTAAGTTTAAAAAAAGTTTACTAAAAAATATATTCAGTAGTAAAAAACAATTTTTTTTAAATGCAATTTTAAACACAAATTATTATTTATTAATATCTACTTATATAGTTATATATGTTGTAGGCATATGGTAAAATCAGGAATTTTATTAAATGCCTAGGCATGTAGTCAAAGAATTTAATGTTTATGCAATTTCACTATCTGCCTAGACATTTAGTTAAATGCCTAGTCATTTAACTAAATGCCGATTTCATGCCAGGCAAATAATAAAAATAACATTTTGTATTGTTTTAAAAATTTAAATATATTTTCTTTCAGTTATTTATTGCTATTTTATAAATAAAAAAAGGTATGTATTATTTATTGATATGAAAAACACGAAGGTATATGAAATAATATGTTTAATTTCGTGTTCATTATTATTTCGTATTGTTTTAAAAGTGAAATCATAAATTTATACAAGTAATAACTAATTAGATGTGATAGACGTAAATGATAGTACGAATATATTGTATAGCCTATAGTCAGTATAGTACGAGTAGTGAGTACTATATATTCTTATTAAATAAAAATAAAAGTTCCATTGGTTTTTACCTTGGAAAATTAACGTAGGTACTAGGTTCTATGAGAACCTTATCTATATTGAGTACCGTGAGATAAATTATAATCTTATTGATTATAACGACATACATAATATGACGTTACGGAAAAAGATACAGAACATGCGATTGAATTGTACAATAATTTAGTTTAATACGTGTATTACGTTTACGTAAATCGTATGTAGTGTGACAACAAGTAATAGGTAACAAAAACTTGTAGTTGTTATAATATAACTTTTTTATTTATTTTTTATGATTTCATTTTTAAAACAATAGTAAAAGTGGACACGAAATTAAACATATTATTTCACATAGTTATTATTTTATTTTCTACGTTTTTTACATATCAATAAATAATACATACCTTTTTTTTATATAAAATAGCAATAAATAACTGATATAAAATATATTTAAATTTTTAAAATAATACAAAATGTTTTTTTATTATTTTCCTGGCATGAAATAGGCATTTAGTTGAATGACTAGGCAGATAGTGAAATTGCATAAACATTAAATTCTTTGACTACATGCCTAGGCATTTAATAAAATGCCTGATTTTACCATATGCCTACGACATATACATTATCTATAATACACTTTTTCATGGTCAATATTATGTAATAATATATATAATATTATGTGTTTAAACATTCTATTTTTTTTTTTTTAGTTACCTAATTATTTATTATTTTTCAGACTTGCATATGATTCTACTATCAATCAGGTTAATCCATCTACGTACCCATCTCAATTAACTAGCATTCATAACACTGATTTAAGTTATCCAATAAACACGGAAAATGAACAATACAGATCAGTTGCTTCCGAGTATCCTTCAGTAGCTTATAAGTCATACGGATCAAGCTCAGAATCGTATAGTCCGTTAGGATCACCGGGATTAGTTTCTTCTTCATACCCGTTAACGTCATATGGGTTAAGACCTGAATCATATGGACATTCAGGGTCAAATGGATTATCAGGATCATATTATGGATTGTCCGAATCATATGGGCCATCAGAATCATGTGGTTCTTCACTACCCTCAGTTATGCCAACATCTTATTTTAATCCTATTCCTTGTCAAGGTGGCATTGCCCAACAAATAATTCATAAGCCCGTTGTTACAGAATTACAAGAAGTTATTCACAAACCAATAATTACAGAAGTACAAGAAATTGTGAACAAGCCTGTTATCTCGGAAGTCCAACAAGTCATACATAAACCACTTTTCACTGAACATATTGGTCTCGGTCCATCTTACCATGGATATCAAAAACATGTTATCAACCAACCTATTTACCATAAGCCCACTAAACATTTTGTTCGTCAACCAGTGTCTCATACAGCAACTATTCACTTAGCTGATAAATATGAACAACATGTCAGTAACGGTCACAGTATTTGTGAACAAGAGACTGGTTCTCCATACGGTTTTACAGGATCATCGTATCCTATTACATACGGGCCAGGAATCAACGTTGCACAAGCAAGTGGACAATATAAATCAGCTGCGTCCAGGCCTAGTGTTGCACCTTATGATACAGGTATATCTACATCGGATTCTTCGAGTTACTCTTTATTACGTGGTTCAACTCCATACCGTTACCCTTTAATATCTTCTGTTCAAGATTCAAACAGATACGCCACTTCTGGTCCAATTGGTTACTCTGATCCAACTTCTTCATTTAGCTATTCATCATTGCCGTCATATAACGAATTAGGTTCAATAAGTAATGGAAAACCTTATAGACAACAGATTGCTACTTTCAATACTGGTAAAAATGGACCATACAGAAGTTCTGAAGAAAGTTCACAACTTAAAGCTGCAGAACAGATTATGTACGATAAGTTCGTGCCATATACACAACAATTAGATGGTAACCAACAATATTATGATAACCAGTTTCAACAAAAATTCTCAGGATTTCGACAACAAAGGGGGAGGAGCAATGAAGACCAAAAACAAATTAAAATGGATGTAGATGCTATAGCTAAGCAAATTGAGAAGAATCCTGAAATGAGAAAACAATTAATAAAAATAATTACAGAAAGCATTTACGTTAGTGACCAAATGACACAACCCAATAAGAAACAAAAAGATACAAAAACTCAATCATTGCCACTAATATAACATTATATAGCTAATGTATAAATAACTTTTAAAAAATTAATAAATTGACCTCATTTTAATTATATTTTTTAGTATCAAGATTAAGATTTAATTTCAATTTTATGTGTGTATTGAGAATTTGATACTTACATCCTGAACCAATGTACTAATAGTTGATGATCATCTTTGCTTAGTTGAGCAATATAATTTAATAAATGTGCAAATATTGGAGCACTTGATTGAGTTCCAAAAACTGGACATTGTAGTAACACAAACAAAGCTCTGACTTCATCTTTCTCATAAAGACTGAACAAAATATAGGTATATATTTATTTAATGTTTGAGTAAATAAAAATTAAAAAATGTATATCATCATAAATAATATATTATAAATAAATAAGAATTATTGGAGAAACTAGAAAAGTATTATTAGTGAAGTTAGAGATAAGATAGGGTTAAGTGACCCCAAATATAAAATTAGCTTCCGTTCTTTCAAGTTAATTCTATTTTTTTTAATATTAAGTATATTTTATTCTTGTTAATACTTAATAACTTAATAATAAAATATTGAGCCGGGCTCCTCCAATTTATCAAGCTCCGCTTTTGATAGAAATGCATGTATATTGATTTAATTCTAAGAATTATTATTTTTTAAATTTATTACACAACTTATATTTTACTAAAATAGAAATTATATTCATAAAAATTATGGTCATTTAATCCATGAAAAGCGTTTTTATTATCTAAAAATACTAATGAAGTAATGAATAATGATTTTATATGTGATACTATATTGTACCTAAAATATATTAATGCAATTAATATATTTTAGGTATGTAAATTCTCACTTTTTATTATTCTCAAGTAGTGCATTTATTATTGACTTTAAAACGGTTTTGTGTATTCCACTAGACTGTAATAATTAAACAATTTACAATTACTAGAAATATATTTATATTTAAATGTTTTAATAAGCTATTATACCAAATCTTTGAGGGCATCATTTATAGCATAGACAAATTCTAAATGAATATCAGGATCATCTAATTTAGCTCCAGATTGATTTGGATTAATCTAAAAATTTTATTTAATATGTACAGTTAGAAAAAATAATTTTATTTTATTAATAATAATATAAATAACAATACTACCTTGAAAAGTGCACAAATCTCACTAAATGAATCAAACAACCTCATATAAAAACGTTGAACAGTCATAAAATTTTCATTTTTATGAGCTTTTCGTATTTCTTGTCTAAAATAGTAAGTAAGAAGCTTTTCATTTATATTTTAAACTAGAGTTAATCTACCAACAAATTGGAAGGCATTAAAAAAACTCACAAAAATTCTTCTCTTGTTTCGTGTCTAGTTGGATATTGAGGTTTAGATTCTATTTGAAGATTTTTTTGAACTTTTCTACATCCCTGATCAGTTTGATTTTCATTATTAATAGAGGGTATGTTTGTTCTATTATATGTTAGAAAGTGGTTCGAATTACCCTGAAAATATAATTAGTAGTAGTTTATAATTCTGATATAATACAATAAGCATAGATTAAATTTACAATTAATCAATTAAACTATGTTACAAAAATTAAGAGCTTAAGAGCTTATTAAAAAATATACAGTGTCAATGTTTTAAAATCAAACTCATAAACTATTTTAAAAAGTATTTAAGTTTTTAAAATACTTTTTTAATTAATTTATCGTCATTTTATACATGTGTGACTATATACAACATTTTGGAAAAAGTTATTACTTTGGTTTTTTTAAGATTTTTAAATAAAAATTTGAATTAAATTTTATACACGATTATCAGACTTATTAGATTTGCATTAAAATATTTATAAGAACTTACGATTGGAGGTAGTCTAGAATATCCGGATATTGTAGGTTCACTGCATGATCGTTGACTTCTAGTTAATATCGGGCTATCTTCGTGACCGCAAAAAGGGCATGGGCTAAGGCGATCCCCCCAATGATCTGTTTCTTCACAAGGTTCTATCTAAAAATTATATTTTAATTTTTAGAACAACTACCTACTAATAATTATTTTGTGAACTCCAATTATTTATATAAATTATAACCTATCAAATCAATAGTGGTAGGTTTAAGGGGGTCTAATTTTACTCTACTTGATAGTTGAAGTACCACCGTTTCGCTTATTTACCTTTATTTATCAAGTACAATGATAAATGTCAAAAATGTAATACGTTAAGACACACATAAAAATTTGAATGAAAATCTAGCATCTTATTTTATAATTCAACTCAAAAATTAAAAGTATTTAATGAAGAATTTAATGTTATTTAACTTGGTGGTCATCAAGCTTGAACAAATAATAGAATAAACAAAAATAGTAAGCTTAAAAATGGTTAAAATTAATCATTTTTAAGCCAATTTATTTAAGAATTAAAATCTATATTGGATGATAAGTTTTATAATATTATTTGGGCTGCTCCCAGTTAAAAATAATTTGTTTAACTTGATTTTTTTAAGTGGTGCAATGTTCTATACTTAAAGATTTATACTTATCCCCAAGTTATATTATTATACATTTATACGTTAATATAAAAGTATAAAATACATAATAGAGAATTATAAACAATCAACACCTATCATAAAAAAATCCCTAGATCCACATCTGAATCAAATATCAATTAATTGTAATTAGGAATATTTGGTGCAGCTTATTCAATAGCAATGTGATAAAATGTATTATACAACTCTATAAAGTAATAAAATATATTTACTTACGTTTTTTGAATGCAAATGATCTCTTATTGGAGATCTACTAACGCAAGGCACTACGGCAAAGGTCAACGTCCTATTGAGAAAAGACTTTCTTACTTTTTCCCAAAGCCAAGTCATCCGAAATCATTTATAATATCGTTAAGCACGGTTCTATTTTGAACAATCTATATAATAACGAGACAATTTTGAATGACCCCTTTTATTACGAGCGCTATACCTACTATACATGTTTTACATACATGTGTCATGACAACCGTACTTACAAGGTAACACATACAAGGTCCGTGTTTTAAAAATATTTGACACATTGAGTATATATATATGTATACAGGCATACATTATTAATACTATACCCATATAACTCGTATAGATAGATTCGAAAACTTAGTTCAAGGACTAAATATTGATTTTAAATTGTTAATTTAAGCCTTTTAACATAAACATTTCATTTGGAAATATTTTGTAAATGCGTAGAATTAATATATTTTAAAAACCATATTATATATTTTTTTGTAATAGTCCAAAATATGTCATATCTATATAAACAAGTGCAGATATACATATACTTATAAATTGTAGTAATTTGTAATGGGGTATTGTCTATGTATTTTTTTTTATGCTTCACTACATTAGATAATAAGTTTATTGACATAAAAATTCATTTCAATATAAGACTGTATTTAAAAAATACTTGAACTAATTTTAAACTACTCAATAGATACTTGATTTTTGATATTTTTTAAAGTTATTTTTCTCATGAGTCTAAAAATTTGAGAATACAATATAGAACTCCTCTTGAATTTTTTTTCAAAAATTTTAAAATATTAAAAATACAGTCATCGGTCACAATATATTTTTATAAGTATTTTATTAAAAAAATCGACAGAATTACAAACATTTTCAAATTATTTTGTATCTACCTGGTAAAATACATTAATATAGTACAACTGTCATTATAGTAGATATTTACATTATTAACTTATGTTGAAGGAGGTACTTAATATACTTTATTATATACTATAATTTTTTAATTCTTTCAAAATTATATGGGCACATATTTTCAATAAAAAATTGAACATTTCGTATGACGATGAACTATAGTCTGCGTATTATCATATTATATGGTTTTGTACAGCGACTAACGGTAATATTTTTTTTTTAAATATTATTACAAGCACCCAAAATAATATCTAAATTAGTTGCACGAACAATTTATATGATATTTAAGACCAATAAAATAAATGGTAACATCCATATATAAACAAACGGGGTTATCCGTCACGGCTTTGCCCGCGAAATTTTAATAAGTACCTACTATCTATATAATAAAAATTAATAATTTATAACTACAATTTAATCATAAAACTTCTCTGTAAAATAAATTTGATGTTATTATTATCAATTAACACCAAAATGCAATTGAGAAATTAATCTACGCGCTTGTGATTATATTATATAGATACTTCGGTAATATTATTTATACATAATATCTAATTTATATACTGTATTTAATTATCGATGCTAATATATTTGCCTCTATGGCAGTTATATACAATCTATGGCAAATATATTTGCATCTATGGCTAATTTATCCACTATTTCCCATAGAGTGAATAAATTAGCTATAGAATCAATTATATTTTCCATAGAGTGTACATATAAGCCATAGAGGCAAATTAGTTAGATATATGTTAGTATATATTATATTTATATTATATAGTTCAGATATATTTCATTTTATGACTTAGACAATTAATGATCTATCACAATATTATTTATATTTATAACTTTCCAAAAAACGTCTAACAAAATTTTTGGATAGGTTTAATTGAATTTTGTTAAATAAATGCCACTAAATTCATAATTGTCCGCTCAACTTATATTTTAAATTTTGGTCATCAAATGATGTGAAGCACCGTTTACAATAATATACCGAATGAGCGTGTAAAGTAGTTTGTGAGTGGATAAGACATGACAATTTTGAAATATAAACAAAGTGTCTTTTTTCACCATCAGTAATTAAAAATAATTAAAATTATATCGTAATGCTCGGCTTTTTCGATTTTTAATGGAAGTATATGGTAATTAGAATGGTTTGAAGAAGGTTGTGAAGTTTTCTTAATTCCGTAGATATATACAGAGATAAATGGGTTATTTTTTTCGAAATTTTTAACCTCAAATTACGGTAATGGGAATGTTGGCCAGGAAAAATTATATTTACATTCATGTCGGTAATGATTTTTACAATTTTACCCACGCAATGTTTATTCGACCCGGTTACATGCATTGCCAGAATAATCCATTT